AATCGGCACGCTGCGCTTGAGCTAAGCGGTAGGGTGAGTGGGATTTGGATTGCCGTCCGCGGAAAAGCGTCGCGGATGTATACACTAAAAACGGATCTCGGCCTCCGCCAAAAAACTTTTTGACAATGCGATCAAATTATACATCGCGATATATAACGTATTCGTTCATATACCAAACATCAAAACTGTGTGCGCATATAGGTAGTTATATTTATTGTTACCATTATGCTTTAAGCACCTATATAATATATTATATGATGAATTTAATTTACGGATGTCCGCTCATTCTCGGTGGTTTCCGCATTAATCCCGCTTATCGTCTAGCCATCGACAATCGGTTTGCAAAACGGTAAAAGATAAAACTATGCTGTTTGCACGGGTCGACCACGTGAATAATCGCCATTTTATAATTGTGTCGTTAGTCGTTATTATATTATACGCCATGTCGTTGTTATTACTTGTTTTTTATGTTCGCGATTTTCGGTCGGTCTGTGATGRTCGCGTGATCAAAATCATTGTTTGCGCTACGCTGCCGCTGCGATTACTATAATAATATTGTATACCTTATACAATAATATTATACACTATTGCTGTCGAATGGTTGCAGTGGCACGAGTTATASAACAATCGCGATGCATCAACGCTTTACAGTCAGTCAACAATATAAATTAAATTGAAAAATATTTGCTTGCGATAAAAACTCAAATTACTGCATCATTATACTATTATACTCGCGCATTTATACGTTAACCGTTATTGATGTCTAAATACGACCCTGGCAACTTCAATCGTTTACAAACCCAAACCAAATAATATAAAATTACCGCGTTTAGGAATATGTGCTATAGTATCACACCGACACCGGTAGATGTCAAAATATGTAACTTTAAGTTTGTCTACAATGCCAATAATGTTATCAACATCGTCATACAAAAGTATTTGTCAATAACTCGTACGTCTTTGTAGTATAGGTGATTGCACATTAAACCCAAAGTGATGATGGTTACATMTATAATGTTATTAGTTTTTAGTTATATTAAACTTAAATCAAACTTGAAAAGTAGGCCACATAATATACTCTTATAACCAATGCCCTCAGATTTAATTGTTAATCTCTCGGAGCGGTATAACGAATATTACGTCATAATAACAAGAATACATCGGGATTCGTGACACGACACCCATGTTATGATGTCCGTCGACCCATCAGGGAAGCGGTGGCGTGAAAATCCCGTCCTGGTGTTGTGAACCAGTGGCGTGAGATAATAATTATATTATTCATGTGCTTTATAGTCGTTTTGTGATTTATTCTCCTTCCCTTCTCCAAACAATATATAAGTAGGTAATAATAATCATGACAGCAGCTGCAGCAGATATAGTACCGACGACCCTCTACTATTGGCGAATAATATTATTGTCGTCGTCGTTCTGCGGAGAACAATCGCAATACTCTGCAGCCCGCACTCGACATGACAATCATACAATCACTTTAATTTCTCGCACTGTCTCTCGATTYAATAATATATTGAAATATTGTGTTTCCTGAGATCAATTATGTTTAGAATTATGCGTTTAAAATTGTTCTTATAATAAATAATTAAACTATAATATATGAAACCGTATTCCGATTGGATACGGACATACGGTACGTCGGTACTATACCTGTGCATCTTATAGTATACATCTAACATATTGCAATATATTATCATAACTTATAAGTCATAAACGATAATTTAACGACCTTACTTGAGTCTCCAAACGTCGACGGCCATTTAAATTTGTTAATCTCATACTTGATGACATTTTTTTTTTTTTGGTCCTCTTCAATAAAGTTTCTATTTTATCATATATTATAAACATAGAACTCATTGAAAACCCGTTACAACACATTTAATTGTTGAGTATTCAAAAATAACAATTACATTTGCTGATGCTGTTCGACGAGTTAACATTTTTGGCATGAAGTTTGTGTACAGTCTTAGCTGTGCATTTTATAGTGCGCGCACAGTTTCAACGCTAATTGTTGGATGACGTCCAAATTATCAGAAGATGAAAATAGTTGACAAAATGAAGGAAAACGTTTCAGTTTACCTGCGGCAAGTCCGTATTAATAATTTAAGAATATGTACTTATTTCTTTCAAATCTCCACCAAAATATATTTTCACATTTCTGTCTAATCACTGATTATTATTTTGATGTGTAATTAAAAAAAAAAAAATGTTATTTATTGGCACTTAAATACACGCACATAATAAACTAATAAACAATACGTATACAGTGCGTTTGGCGTTTCCCCAAATACACTAGTAAGAAAAAAATACTCACACACCATGAAATGATTACTTTTGAAAACTAATGAAGCCCGATTATATACAACGTGACTAATCCAATTGTCTGAAATTTCTGAAATAACTCAAAAATGTTCTTTAGAATACATCTGTGAAACAGTTAACGCTCTGACGAGTTAATGAAAATATGTTTTTGAGAACAAAAAATAAAAAACAACGCATACTTAAATATTTTAATTATTTCGAATCMAAATATATACCTACTACGTAATGTTTCCAGTCGTTCGTATTTAAAGAACATATAAGCATTGAATCTATTTGAATCACTAATATGAAACAGTTGGTTACAGACTCAGCATACGAAAGTAATAATATATCCTTTAGTATTAGACCTATAATATCATTACCCTACTGTCGTAATTTTCTTGACAGCGAAATTAACTTATTTATTTAACTCTCGAGTTATCATATAGTTATATACTAGTGGCTTTTATAATTATTAACAGTAAAAACTAAAATACATATAACATACTATTACCATAATTCTATTTATCACATTTAATACATTTATTACTATATACCTAAGTATATTACTATACATTTATCATATTGATACAAATTACTTGCACTATTTTTCTGAAATTCTTCTAGTCATATCATTTTTGAAACTAAATTCCAATTTTTTATTTCGAATAACGCGACACCTCAAATAAATGTAAACAGTGTAAGACACAGAGCCTCGGTCCTGTCTCCCACTTTCCTTATAGAAAACCCTGTTTACAAATAACCTCGCAAGTAGTTCATGATCTGTCACTATGCATATTATATATTACTATAATGTCAAATGTGTACAATTAATGTGAGCCAAATATTGGCTACTAAATATTATTATAATTTTAAACTCTTAAAATGTGACCACCATGCACCATGAATGCAATTTTTTTGAAATACCTACTTATTTGACGGTACCTGCATGTACAGTACATATACTTTTGAAACATTATACAGACCGTCCGCTATACAGATATTATGCCAACGATACTATATAATAATGTTCATTTTTTTTTTTTTGTTGTTGAAAGCTCCCATTCGCTGTAGTACCTATATGCATATTATATTTAGTATTATAGTATGTATTAAAATATGCACTTTGAAACGTTTTTTTTTAAATTTCTAATGATAATTTTTATTTTTGTTCCAGGAAAATGTTCATTGGCGGTCTTAGTTGGCAGACTAGTCCAGGTAATTTAAAATACAATATAATAATATTATTGCCTACAGACAACCATCGTATACATTTACGCGTTGCATTACAACTGTAATGTATAATTATTATCGTTTATGTTTATTATATGTATATGTTATATTTTATATAGCCAAAACGAATACCATTGGCCGAATTGTATAATTTATTTTTATTTTTAAACAGAAGCACGTTCGTGCTTTACCTCTAATATTATGATGCGTTATTATAGACACAACATTTAATTACCGAACGAATGATTAATGCACGTCCGTCACGAGTCACGATTATTGTTATAATATTTTATGTGTCGTTGTTTAGCCTCCCCTCCTCATTAGATCAAAATGTTTGCATTTTACATAATCATTTGAGCCAAATTCATTAGAAAAAAAAAAATTCGAAAAAAATAAATTGGATTTCACGGTATAAATACAACGGTTTGATTAACTATTTAACACGGACATTAAGCACAGTGTGCTTAAAAATATAATCAATGGTTTGAAAATAAAATATTAGGTAGGCTTCCGCGAAAAATGCTGCACGAACTCTGAAAACAACGACAGAACATTGTAGTCAACGTTTTTGTTTAATTAGGATTCGAATTCTCCACTCCTTGCATAATTCGTTTTAAACAGTTTTTTGAAGCTATACACATAGTATATAAATATATAAATATATTTCGAAAATTTAAACAAAACTTCAAATAATTTATATTAACGATGAAAGAAAAAACAAAAATGAATAATATAACTGACGAGTTATTTTGATCATAAATGTTTAACGATACGTTGTATCAGTAGCGGATGTGTGTGAAAATGCTAACGAGGGATGACGTTCGAGTGGCAATCGTAAATTGGCCACCCAATACAAATAAAAGGGTCGGAAACACAAAATCAGACCTTCAGATTTGAGAGACGTTAAAAAAGGCTAGTCAGTATTGCAATAAAGTCGATACAGCACGTCCATCGGTGGTATATTCACTGCAAAGCGATTTTTATGTCAATAAAATGAAAATGCCTATATAMGCTATAATAGGACGTAATAGAAAATGACCCGATGGCACAGTTAATTCAAGTACCGTGAATCCCACAATAGTATATACCTACTATCATTATCGGATGTCATAAAATACATGTGGTTATTTATTCAGGTATTTCGACAAATACTTAAATATTATAGATAATTGAAATAATTAGAAATTGAATATTCCGAAGCTGGATGTTATTATTTTTTATAAATGTCTATGCACAAACATAATAATATGGATTATTTTAARCTATTATTTTATTTTTGTGGATTGATAAGCGTTCAAAGTTTTAATGAAACTGCGCCCTGAAAATGTTGTATGGTGCTGAAGTATGCTCATATGAAATTTCTGCACTTCGTTATCGGAGAGTTGTACTACATAGTCCACACAATAAAATTAATATTATATTATGCGGGGATAATAATTATTATATTCGTCGATCGACGCTCCTAAAACGGTTACCGCGATGTACCAATATGTGTTATATTGTATAGATTATACATTAATCGCGACAAACGATTTATAACGAGTGCGTGTATTTTTCACATTTAAAAAACTCTGTGCCCGATTCGTGGCACCGCTTCGGTCGTAGTTGGCTGGCGTTCAAGAAATTTTCATCAATACAACACACGGTAATACGACGGCGGTGTACATGGCGAGTGCGCCGCGCACGCGTGTTCGTCCCGCTCTCGTTATTATTTTTATTTTTTGTAAATTGTCTCTTTTGTGTCGTATATAGGAGAAAAATTGGAAAGAAAGAACAAAAAAAAAAAAAAATAAGCATATACGTACACAACCTAAAACAACAATATAAAATACAAGAAATCGAGGATGGGGGAACAAATAACTCATTACAATCGTAAAGCGGCGGACGTGTTCGGAATAAGGCACGTCGTCGACGGAGAGGAAACACATACTATCTCTATACGACATTATCCTATTCTCCGTATGACAAAAAAATATACACCGTATTGGTAAAGGTATACTCATATTATATACATCATATATACTCATATATACATCTACCTTTAGTGTAATATACGTAAACGACGACGACGACGATAATAATAATATATATTATTGTATTGAGTGTGCGTGTGTGCGCAGTCGTACCTATACCATGATTATGTCATGTGCCCAAAAACGATCGGACTGAATAGTGCATATTATTACGTATGATAATAATACTATTAGTATAATATTATATCATTTTGCGTTACGCACGACGAGGATCGACCGTGACACGGCCCCAGTCCGTCTGCGTGGGCGGGTTTCGCGTCGGAAAATTGGAATATTGCGGTTTGCCGCAGTCGAGAGCCGATGCGCAGTGTTATGCTACAATGCGATAATATAATATCATATCCTATACTACAAAACGAACCAGATGACGATTTATTCTCGATATTATGATAATTGTTGTCATTTTGCCGTACTGAAATCAATAAATCATGGCATTATTTTTAAACCGGAACTGTCGAAGCTCGAGATAAGGTCAGAGCGGCGATGGTCGCTTCTATGTGTTATAAAATGTACACGACTCTATCGTCTTAACTTATTGTACCGGTCCGATAACACCAACGCGACGTTCCGAGGACGTAGGGCTATGGCGTAGTGCGTGATGACTATCGACGATCGTAGAACGAATAATATGATAATAGTGTAATCATGCCCTAGTGGCACTCAAAACATTTCGCTTTACAACGTGTAAAATAGGAATGATAAAAATATAATCGACGAACGTCGTTAATATAATAATGGAGTGTTTGGACTGTGTAGAACAAATACATACAGCCGGAACGCGTATAATATAGTGTATGCCGTGTATGGTAATATTAATTGTTCTTTGGTAACATAAATGTTGTAAGTCACCAGAAAATATTATAGAGAGACAGACAGAGATTAGATATCTTATCAATCGTTAATATAAAACCATACCCGTATACCGGTGTTTTAATAATATGATCTGATAAATCGTTTCGATCGAATTATAATGTGCCTCCTAATTATCAAGATACACGCGCGTTTATGGTCTTTATACACGACGGCTGCAGGTAAATATGCCCTCCGAGCAAAAACCGCGATCGTGTACAATCGCACAATCATTTTTGATAAATTAATCGTTATAATATTATAACGCTTATCCCACCACATTCTAGCGCACAATGAAATACCAAGTCTGAGATAATCGAGCACGATAATCCTTCGTCGCTTAACATTGTTTAAATATTTGGTCTGACAGACGAGACGGATAAAACGTAAGAATTGTGTTAAAAAACACACAGTCTTGAGTCTATGATGCTAATACGAATCTCATAGGCCTCATCGCCGTAAAAACAAGCGTAATATTCGTCGGAAAACAAAATGTTCGTTTAATCTCCCCAATCGAGTGTTACGAGAGGGTGCGCAAAAAGTAAAACTAAACTGTATATGATTGCCTAATATATTAATATTTCGTCGTATAATGCTCGTACACGCATGTCATACGAAATGGCATTATTTTGTGTGGAATAAAAGAAACCGAGCTGCAGTCCTGTAGTGACGATACAGACGAGTCAATATTCGTCCGGAACAAATAGAGAGCTAGCGCATTCCGAGCGCCACCGTTTGGTGGTGGTGGGTGGGGGGTCGGGTATTGAAGGGGGGTGGGTTAACAGTACCGGATACAATAATTTTCCTCTGGATATACATTATACACGTGCGAGCGAGCGTATTGAAAAAGTCGTGTTTCGTTTAATCTCTCGAGACGTCGTCGCGCGTCGTCGGTTTAACGTCGGTGTCCGTGGTTGTATACTTGCCGTGGCCGTGTCGTATCTTTTTTGTAAATTTCGCTTCGTCATAGCTGGTATCGTTTTCTCGACGCGTTTCGAGCAGCGCGGAATTCAAAACAATATTAACGTCGTCATGGAGCGTTCGATTGGACGCCGCCGCGGGATGTTCGCTAAATAACCACAGCAGCAGCAGCTGTAKATCGGCACCCCGCGCTTATACGACTTGCAGGCGGCGAAAAATAGTGAACCGTCTATAATATGAAATAATGTAATATTATCGAAGATGCTCCTCTGCGCAGGYTCGTCCAAAGTCCGAATTTTTAGAGTCTGAAATGACGAAATCGATATCGAGAGTAGCTAGGCTAGCCCACAGGAGTGAAAAAAAAACGCAAATATAGTAAAAAAATAAAACAAAACATTTTAAGTATTTATATTTATTATTTATACGTTCTTCGCGGCAAAGTTAAAACTAAACCGTCAAAGTAATCATCCTGCTTACCTACCCATACCAATGATAAGCTCAACCGAAAATAAGTCATTCGAGACACAATATATAGTAATACGCGCTTTACAAACTTGTAAGACGCACTCTTCGCGGCGACTTACTGCTTTTTTTAGCTCGAAATTTTTCAAAATCGTTACCACAACTACTGTGCATAACATGGCCGTTTCGCGGTACAAACCGCATGGACAGGATAACATCGGATCTCCTAGCACAATATAATAAGTCATATATATATATATATACAACAAGAAAACGATAGTATATTTTCACTATGCATGAATAATACATATAACAATAATAATGTATAACTATGATATTCGAAGAAGTTACACAATATGATGCTATACACGAACACTATGCACAGTACAATAATTGTGTAAAAATGGCGTGCCTCTGCAGTGGTGTACAAAATGGTATAAAATGTATGGTATACTATGGGAAACAAATAGCAAGAATTTATCAACGAATCGATTACATCAGAATACTATAAGTGCACGCGTGTGTGTAAACTCTCGAGTGAACTAATTGATCGAACTCGCTTATTATAATCCGTAATAGGATAACGAGACTATTGCTTGACACGTAAGACGTAACGTACCTATATGTATTATAAATTTATAAATGTATATATACACACACAATACACATACACACAAAACATATTAATAGTAATTGTAATTATTATTGTTATATTAGAAT